ACAAATGAGGAGAATGGTGAATTAAGGAAAGGAGTGGTGACCATTACTATGGACACCTCTTCCTCCTCCTCCCGTACCATTACCGCCCCACTGGATGAAGACGACTTCCAAGTAGTGGGTAAGCGCAACAAGATAATCACTCGAAGTGGAGCCGTGAGCCAATCCACCGCAACCAATCCAAGAGGCAAACCGGGCGGGAGAAATGAAAGAGGTAAAGGCACTAATATGAAGAAAGGGGGCAACCCTTCCTCTTCTCAATGATCATCGCCTCATGGAATATTAGGGGCTTTAATGGGCCCCTAAAGCAAGATGAGGTGATCAACCTCATCCGAAGAAATAACATAGACCTTTTGGGTCTTTTGGAAACGAAAACCGATGCTAGGAGGCTAGCACTCTTTGTGGATAGAAGATTGCCGGGGTGGGAATTTTGTGACAACTTTGACGTCGTTGATCGAGGCCGTATAGCACTACTTTGGAACCCTTTGAAGGTCGACATCACGGTGGAAGCCACCTTGCCTCAAGTCATTTTAGCGAAAGTCCATTGTAAGGTTAACAATCACTCGTTTATTGCTAGCCTCATATATGGACTCCACACGAGAGGGGATCGGAAACTATTATGGAATGACCTTAGGTCTGCTCGGGGGAGGATCTCCATGCCTTGGATGCTCCTAGGAGACTTCAATGCCATCCTAAAACCGGAAGAGAGAACGAGGGGCGAAAGGGTCACCAACCGGGACACAATGGACCTTCGAGAAGTATGTGATGAATTAAGGCTGTCGGATGTACCTTCGAGCGGTTTTTTCCACACTTGGACCAACAACCATGTTTGGTCGAAACTGGATAGAGCTATGGTGGATACACAATGGGAGAACGCCGACCTATTCGCCCATGCGACTTTTCTTGCACCGGGTATTTCCGACCACTCCCCCTGTTTAGTAACTACATTTGAGGGTCGAGGCACCTCGGGATCACCGTGGAGATTCTTTAATATGTGGACATATCATGAGAACTTTTTACCGAGTGTCCAAGAGATTTGGAATGAAGGAGGAGGGGGCTCGAGGCAATTCCAACTTGCATCAAAATTAAAGAACCTTAAGATCCCACTTAAGGCACTTAATGAGGAGGCCTTCTCACACATCTCTACTAGGGCCAAAGAAGTGAAGAATGCTCTCGAAACTGCTCAACAAGTGCTCCACGATCAACCCGACGACTCCGAAACCAAGTCTAAGATGGACTCGCTTCGATTTGAAGCTCTTAAGTTGGCCAAAGCGGAGAAGCTCTTCTATCAACAAAAGGCCAAATGCAACTTTCAAATCAAGGGAGATAAGTGCACCAAATTCTTCCATAGCATGGTCAAAAAACGAGCGAAACGGAACTTCATTGCCTCTATTAACCGAGAAGACGGATCAGTCACCAAATCCACGGAAGAAGTTGCAAAGGAATTCATCCACTACTATGAGGCTCTCTTGGGTACCGAAATTGAAACGGAGGAAGTGGATCCACATATACTAAGGTCGGGACCGTGTATAGGAGCCGAAGACTGTAGGGCTCTTACCGCCCCGATTACCGAGGATGAAATCAAAAACACACTAAGAGACATTGATGGAGGTAAATCCCCAGGATCGGACGGCTATACATCTACTTTCTTTCTGAAAAGCTGGTCCATCGTTGGAGCTGATGTCATAGCGGCAATACAAGAGTTCTTTTGCAAGGGCATGCTTCTCAAGCAATGGAACCATACAGCCCTCACGCTTATCCCGAAATCATTACACTCTTCGCAAGTCACGGACTTTCGGCCTATTGCGTGTTGTAACACGATTTACAAGATATGCTCCAAAATCCTAGCTAATAGAGTTAGAGATGTCCTCGGCTCCATCATTGACGAGGCTCAAGCAGCTTTTGTGAAAGGGAGGAGCATAACGGACAACATCCATCTCATGCAACAATTGCTTCGTCTCTACTCTAGAAAACGAGTCTCACCGAGGTGTATTATCAAAATTGACCTCCGCAAAGCATTCGACTCAATTTCTTGGTCCTTCTTGAAGCAAGTGCTCGACGGGCTCGGCTTCCCCCCGGACTTTTCGAGATGGGTTTTGGAGTGTGTCACCACTCCATCCTACTCACTATCTATTAACGGAAGTCTTAAAGGCCACTTTAAAGGCGCACGTGGTTTAAGACAAGGTGATCCTCTATCACCCTTCCTTTTTGTGATTTGTATGGAGTATCTCACTAGGTTAATCAAGAACAACACAAAGGACGGTTCGAACTTCAAATATCACCCGATGTGCGAGGACCTAAAAATCTCGCACCTTGCCTTTGCCGATGACCTCATGCTGCTTTCCCACGGAGACCCTTTATCAATCCAGATTCTCATGGATTGTCTTAAGGAATTTGAAGCCAAGTCGGGTCTTGCAATGAACGTGCTAAAATCTAATATCTATTTGGCTGGGATCAAGGACGATATTCGAACTACAATGGCACGAACTTGAGACACGGCCCAATGCCCTTCCGATACCTTGGTGTCCCTCTTTCCTCGGACCGAATTACTGGAAGGCTCTTTGACAATATGATTGCGCAAATAGAAAGGCAGCTGGGAAGGTGGAATGGGCACACCCTCTCATATGCTGGAAGATTGGAACTCCTACGCTCGGTCATACAAGGCATATTGTGTTTTTGGATGGGGATATTCCAATTGCCCGGTATAGTTCGAACAAAAGTTACCCAACTATGTAGAAGATTCCTTTGGGGTTCAAAAAGTGCGCCGGTGGCTTGGGATAGCCTATGCTTACCGAGGTTGGAAGGTGGTCTGGGACTTAGAGACTTGAATGCGTGGAATCAAGCGTTACTCACCCGGACGCTTTGGAACATGCAAGCTAAGAAGGACACCTTGTGGCACAAATGGATTCACAATATCTATCTGAAAGGGAACTCTATTTGGGACTGGGAAATGAGACCGAGGGACTCACCTCTCTTCAAAAGCCTCTTTGAGATACGTCAAGTATTGGTGAGAATGACGGGGACCGAACGGGGTGCGAAAGCTCTTCTAAAAGGCTGGAAATCTCGTGAAAGCCAAGAGGGGACTGGCAAATGCTATGAATTCCTAAGACCTAGGAGGAACATGGTGTCGTGGAATGGGGTTGTTTGGGGACCATGTAATACCCCCAAGCACTCCTTCATACTATTGTTAGGGGTGCTAAATAGGCTCCGAACAAAAGATCGTCTCGAGTTCCTAGAGGAAGACCCGACATGCCCGCTCTGTGGAGAGGAGAATGAAACTTCGAACCACCTATTCTTCAAGTGTACCTTTAGCACGGAGATTTGGGTGAACATTCGTTCTTGGATTAGTCTTAGACATCAACCGTCTACGCTAAAAGGAGCCCTCAAATGGATCAAAAAGGAGGCAAAAGGGAGTGGATGGCAAACCAAATTGAAGAAAGCGGCGCTCGCGGCTACAGTTTATTTCATTTGGAACGCTAGAAATCGATTGGTGTTCGAAAATGAATATCATGGCCCGAGCCTTCTAATCCACAAGGTAAAAACTCATGTTTATCGGACTATATTTGCCACTTATCCGAACGTGCTCACTGAATTTGAAAGGAGACATACTAGGTCTTAATAGGTCCTCTGGGCACTTGAAAGTTGAGGATTTGAGGGGGTCGTTAGCCCTCCGTGACTGGTTGGTTGGGAAGGAAATTGAAACATTTCAACTGCCTGCGGCCAGATACTCGCGACTCGCGACAGAAACTCGCAACTCGCGACATAGACTCGCGACTCGCGACATAGACTCGCGACTCGCGGATTATCTCGCGAGTCGCGACATTTCACCCAGTTCTGGCACAGGGTTTCTGTTTTTCTCACGACTGACATCGCGAGTCGCGACTTATAGTCGCGCGTCGCGATTTAATTTCGCGAGTCCAGAGCCTTCATCTGTTTTCACTCGACAGCCCCAGAAATGTTCGCGAGTCGCGACACAGGGTCGCGAGTCGCGACAAGGACTCGCGAGTTTTCTCGCGAGTCGCGACATTATGGCACTAACACTCGACAGTTTCAGAAATGGTCGCGATTCGCGACACATTGTCGCGAGTCGCGACAAGGTCTCGCGAGTCACGGATTGTCTCGCGAGTCGCGACATTATGACACAAAACGCTCGATAGCTGCAAAAATGGTCGCGAGTCGCGACACTAGATCGCGAGTCGCGACTACGACTCGCGAGTCGCGAATTTTCTCGCGAGTCGCGACGCATTGGCACATCATTCGTCTGTATAGCCTTATCGAAAATTTCGCTTAGAATCTCGAATCATTTGAATCACCAACTGACTTGTAGTTGGCTTCCCCCTGCGAATGAGGAACCGACTTGTGGTTACCATTTACGCCTTTGTAAGCCGTATTTAGACGGTCAAAGACAATTCTATAGTATATAATCACATTTAACGATCANTACAACTTACACACAAAAGAACAAGATGAAAACATAGACTTAAGAACAACAATGTCCTCATCTGTAGGCAAACATATTCTAAGCCATGCATGATAAATTATTTATAAAGTAATGAATTACGCTTTCTTTATAAACTATTTTGCCATCTCTCGAAAATAGTTTTAGGCCCAAACTCAACATTTTTTATGTGGCTCGAGCCAAAGCTTGACTGTTTAATTAAACAAGACAACGAATGAGCACGAGCACGATTCGTATTATTAACGAGTCAACTCGGATTTTGACGAGCCAAGCGACTCATTTCGTTTATTATGTTCACTAGAAGCACAACTAAACGTTGATTTGTTTGTTGAGATTGTCCTTTAAAATGGTCGATAGCGCACCCAATAGATGAACTTACATTTGAATCGGTCACGAGTTGACCTCACAGCATGACCTGCTAGATCTACTTACCCTCTATTAGGACCCCTACTCACGACTAAATGTTCATCATTTTTCATGTTTTGGCAATTCAATTTTTGAATTTTAAGCCCAGCTGTTAGTAGGGGAGTCAAATATGGTTTTCTCAAATAGTTAAACCGCAAGATGTGGCCCATTTCACTCGAGTTGTTGAATTTGCATAAACTCTTGGAACTTTTCGTACGAAGTCATGTTGGACCGTAATCCAGATTAAGAAAATATCTGCACTGATTACAGAAACAAGAGAATGTCGAAAAGCATACTTGGTTCAAAATGTAATGACTGATAGACCAGCTCAGATGCTGCAATTCAAACCATTCAAATTTGCATTGTGAGATAATGCAGTTATGCACAAAGCTTAAACATAGTTTCCACATCAACAAAGGTGAAAACAACACACATTTTAATGATACTAATATTAATTGAGTGAAAGAAATGAATATTTAATAACCTGCAAGCAAGCACAAACCCTGCAAAACCAAAACAATGGAGGTGCTGCTTTAGTAAGGATAATGTGGTAAGGCAAAATATCGAGACAGGAATAAGTGAAAAATAAGACTAGTTTTATGGCCAGAGTATCTTACGAGCAATAAACCATATCAGCCAAGATGCCTGTGAGAGCTCCTTGCTCCCAACAATGCAAGCAATAATAGAGAAAATGCAAGCAATTTGTTGCACTCAGAACATGAAACTCATCTTGCAGCAAAAACTGGGTTAGAGGCCTCTGAGTTTCCAAAGCATATAGAAAACCCTGAAATTGAATAGTTACTATTTGAAGTATATATCCCATGGTTCCATTTCTTTCTATTTTAGGATCAAGAAAACATCAAATATGACAAAACATGTGCCTACAAGGATCAAATGGTTTATAAAGTAAGGCAAGACTTGTTCTGTGTGTTCTTAGCTATTATGAATCTCTTTACTACTCCATTAATTCCATAATAGGCTTACTACTTTACAAGTATCATCAATCTGTTTTTATTCGTTTAACGTATAATAAGCTAAGGCTGATAGAGAACTACAGCAGAAAACACACTTTAAACTGATGGACGATGCTTGCATTTATCAAGTATAAACAATTAGTTTGATCCCTTCTCTTCATGCATGTATTCTCCAAAATGAAACCTACAGAGATCCTAATGCAATGGTGAACTGGCATGAATGTAATGTATTTAACTGCCACATTCTTGAGCCAAAATATAAGAACAGATTCTCTTTGTTCAAACAAATATATCAATCCTTCACAGAAGCCCTAAAGAAATAAGATGTTTTTAAAGTACTTCACACTAAAAACAAGAAGACGAGAGAATGTTAGTTACCTGGACATGTCATTGTATAGAGCTCTTTTGGGAAGCAGGGACCATTGTAATTTTGAAGCACAAAAAATTATACATTTAACAACTTAACTTTGAAAAATTTGCCAATTATGCACAATGAAACAACATGCACACACACACACACACACAAGATCTTTCTTTCCACAACATGCCTAGAAAGAATGTACAGGCTTTAAAAGAAATATACATGAGATGCACATACAGACAAAGCAGAGTCCCAAAGGAAAACCCTCAAAGTGATTCCATGAAATGAGTTTCAAAACTAAGTACAATTTCCTTCTAGTTTTAGTCTCAAACTACAATAGTGGGAAGAAAAAAGAAAAAGGAAACAAAGAAAGAAACTAATCTGGAAAGTGCATATGAAGAAAACATACTTGTATGCAATTTTACAAATTGATTTTCT